GGTGGGTTGGGGGTTGGTTTTTGGACCAAGGTATGAATTGAGTTTAGGTTAGTTTTAGGGTCAGGAAGGTACCTGTGAGGTTAGGGTTTGTGGTCAGGGTTAGGCTGTAGAAATGTAATGGAAGTCAATGGAATGTCCCCAAATGGATAGCTGTGCAAACCTGTGTGTCTGTGTGTGTGTTGGCTCTGAGGGGATCTCCTGAGGGAAGTGGAGAAAAAAGACATGAGCATTAGAGTCATTCACGAGCATTCAACAGTCATGGAAAAAGACCAGCAGAGTTAAATATTGGGATTAAATTTAGGAGCACAAGGCAGTGGGGGTCTGGACTGAGCCAGACACTTTGGAGTCAACAGCGTTAGTCATGATGGACCGTCACACACCCACTGTGGCCACAMAGAGTGACTCAGCAGAAAGCCTGAAAAAGCACAAAATTGTTTTGTTCTTTAGATGTATTTAACACCAGYGATTAAAGCAAATGATCCAGTTGTTTTAAAGCAGAAGTCTCCTTTTCTCTGCCTGAATGCTGATTGGATTTGATGTGAAGCAGTTTCAGAGGACACTGCCTTCTCTACATGACCAACTGCAGCCCTCCGTCCACCACCAGCACCTGCCCTGTAACGTAGGAGGACTCCAGCAGAAAGAGCACAGCTCGAGCCACTTCCTCTGAAGTGCCAAACCTCGCAAGAGGGATGGAGCGTGCTCTGTCCTCCTCCCTCAGCCCCGCCGTCATGTCGGTGTGGATGAAACCTGCAGAGACAGACCAGACCAAGAAGCTGTCAGGAGCTTTGATAAATGGAAGACCTAGCAGTCCATCAAGGAATGCATGTCARCTGCTGTCTTTCATGCTAGAGCTTTAAAATAAGACGGTCTCCTGATGGGAAATGACAGCATTACAACCATTTAGTTTGTTAGTATTCACAGTATGTGCTGGAGATGACTCTCAGCTACTACTATTCCAAATATCAGCTCAATATCTGCAAAATTTACTCAAAGAATTTTGATGTTCTCTAAGGTTGTTTCCTGTGATGATGTTGGCCAAAGTGTTGCACTCTAAAGCAACAAATTTCAGCAATAKTTCCAAAAATTCCAAATGATTCATTAACATCTAAACCTAAAAGTTTGTTGTTAAACTTTTTATAGAAAATTTGATTGTCCACAATAAGCTGTACATTAGTGATTAATTTGATTCTGTAAATAATAAATGATCACATTTATTGTTAGATCAAACGAGTAACTGAGTACGCTCATCTTATTGTGTGTTTTGTTCATTCATTTTTGTATAAAGAAGATTTTTCCGAAAATAAGAACCCGGGAATTTCCTTATAATTTTTAATATAAGTAAGTGTATAAATCACAACACAAACGAAATTAAAAATATCGCARGACAAAATAAAACCATTAAATGGAACCAGTACTAAAAGCCAGTGGATACAAAGTGCTTAAAATGTTAAAATTTGAATCAAAAAGTTTGTGTCAGACTTTAAAAACGGCTATAACTGACCTGTAGAAGCACTGAAGCCATCCAAGGTTTTACCTCAGTGAGGCAGTTAAAAAGTGGTTTTAATGAAAGAATGAAAGAGATTGATTACGCTTCAAATGTACATAGACTTAGAGCGTCATCTGAGTAAGAATGAAAAGAGGTGTTAAAGTTTCTAAAAAAGGAGTCTAAGGGGAGGATGTAGATGGAGAACAAAATGGGACCGAGTATACATCCTTGGGGAGCCCCACATGTGAAAAGGGATAAAGCGGAAAAGATTATCTGAACCGGTTTAGTGCAAAGCCTTTAATACCCCATTGTTCCAGCCTGGAGATCAGAATACTGAGGTCAACTGTATCAACAGCAGCTATCACATCTAACGGCAAGAGAATAGCTGAGTTTCCTGAATCTGTAACTAACTAGATACCACATAGCGGTAACATAATGACCCCCACATGCAGAAATGCACCGTAACTCAGAAGTCTTTATTCCTAACAAATGTCATGCTACTAGGT